ACACCTGAGGATGCAACTGCCTGGTCAGTTCTGCCTCAGCCCCATATCCCACAAGAACTGACAGGGACTATACTCAGATTTGCCAGCCTACCACAGACCCAGGCTTCATATACACCAGCAAGTGCTGAGGCCTAGTATGGGGCAACCCCCATAATCACCACCAGAACTTGTTTTTCTGTATGCCAGGCTCTGCTGCAGACTAATTTCACCCATTCTATATCTCATTAGGCTTTCATGGACACCCATGTTTGTTGCAGCTTAGCTCAACCTGATCCATCCAATATAAATGCTAATAGCTGCAACTGTTACCCAGCTTGGCCTTCCCCAACCCTGATTCATGTGATCACTAGTGATAAGTACAATTTGACAACAGGGTTCCTAGAGTCCTTAAAGCAAGGTGGGGGCAGAGTCCTTGGTTTCTCCTGGCCCAGAAGCAACTATCCCCTCAGGTTGAGTAGCCGCGAGGGATGCCTGGGAACTGGGTTAAAATCCTAGCTCCACCGTGTCACCAGCTTTTGGCAGCAAGACAAGACGGGTGGATTCCAGTCTTGGGGCAGAGGGTGGGCTTAACCCCTCCACAGGGTGGCACTTGTAGGGGGCACCCCTGCCGGACAGAACCCCACTGGGGACTTGGGCCAAAGCCCCCGCCGCAATGCGGGGGCAAAGTCCTTGGGTTTGGACAGGCATTGCACCAAATGGTGCCAGGCTTTGCCTGCTGGCTGCCCAGCGGCAAGCTCTGGGGTTTTTATGATATGAAATAGCTGCTTAGGGACACCCATAAATAAGGCCAACTTTAGTGTAGTTGAGACACGAATTCCTGGTGATTCCCAGGAACAGGGACATGAAACTTTAATGCAAGCGTGGGACTGAGACCTGAAGGTTTGGACTAAGCAAACCTTAGCCCACAAGCATGATTGGAAAACAGAGTGGAGCTCAGGATATGCCCAAGTAGGTTTTTGCACCAACTGGTCTGCATGAGCCACAGATCTGAGTCACAGTGTCTAAGGCAGGGGTCGCGACAGGTGAATGAAGCTGCATTCAGGTCAGGATACAGTTTTGACACAAGTGTGAACTGGAATGAGACTAGCACCAGGCTGGGCCAGACTGCAACACCTCTGGTTCTCTGGAGGACCAAGGTAGTTGTGGGACAGACTAGGCTAGGTCTCAACCCCAACTGAGCCATATATGAGCTATATGGGGGTATGGATAAGCCGTGGCTGGGCTGAAACATCCTACAGCAAGAACCAGAATGGGTTGAAGGCCAGTTAGGAAAGGCCACTGATCCCGTTAGGACAGGAGGCAAACTGGCACATGGACCCACTGGTATGCACGAAAGCTAGTACTTGGAGGGGTTCTGATGGAGGAGCCCGGGCAACTCCTCTGGCAGGACACAGACCCTGCAGGTTAGCGCTAGAAACATGGAAGGAAACAGCCAAGAGGTCATGGAAATTGTCCCACTGGCATGCATTTGGCATGGTTCGGGGGCAGACCAAGCTGAATCTGCTCATGTCATCCACTGGTAAATCTGAATGCCAGAACAGAGTGTAGGTCGAACCAGGTTCAATCGCGACAAAAGCAGTACACAACACGGAATACCAAGGTGAGGTTGCCTGAGCTGGAATTGACCACAGCACCCAACCAGCACACATGAGAATCAGAAAGGGAGGGGGCAGAACTGGCAGGGGAATAAGGGGTGGTTCCCTAGCTGAACAGCTACTTCCACTGAGGAGCGTGAGCTGGGTAGGGGGTAGACCAGACCAGGCAGGGCCACAGCACCTGTGCGCCTCATGTGGACCAGATCAGGAGAAAACCAGGCTGGGCTGATTATTCCTACTGGTGCAATCTACAATTAGAGTAGGTGAGGGTTGTTGGGGCTTGGTTGTAGCATCTGCTGGCGGAGGATGGCACTGGGGGCTAGTTATGTCGAGTTGAATCCCAGGGCCACCTGGAGAGGGCATAATCGGGGAGTGGGAGAAGCCTGGGAGGGAAATAGTGGGCTCCTCCCTCTTGGGTTACCACCCCCCATGGGAGGGCACAGGAACTAGGATGGGGGCTGGGGTGGTTAGACAGATACCCAGCAACATCCATGAGGTCTGGATGAATGAGATGATTGGATACAACTAGGTTAAAATACCCATTGACATATACGAGAGCAGAAGGGAATGTGGCACAGACTGGACTAGTCTGCCATACATACTGGCAAGCCAGGGTAGGGGGTGAGCTCGGTTGGGGTTACTGTGGGTCGCTCCAACTGGGCTGCAGCTGGTACTGGTTTGTGTGAGGGCCGAGTGTGTCCAGGGCAGAACCAGGCCAGACTGTAACACCCATTGGTTCCAGTGGAAGACATGAATGGAGACAGAACCGACCCAGCAACTGCAACCACCAGCTGATCATGGCGATGGATTGTGTCGGGTCCTGTACTTGCTAAAACAAGCAGGAATCTGACTGGGAATAGCTCAAAATTTCTTTGGGGGTCTCCCCAGTCGAGATGCCAGACTCAGAGCCCTAACCAAGAAAAGACAGAAAAAGTTAACCAAAAAAATCTGTCATTTCTCGGCAGCAAAACACTGGGCAAATGGAGACTCTATGAGGGACTGTGTCAATCAGTGGATCCTTCCATGACCTCACTGTGATTGGAGAGGCGAGATTGGTAGCGATTCATGAATGATGAACTATCGAAACCACTTGAGCGAGTATCTCAGAGCATGCCCCAGAGCCGGGACTTAAGGTGGGTGGGAAACTGGGTGGGACTTCTCCCTCCATGTCCCCATTTACCTCGGATACAGGAGGGAAACAATGTGGAAACAATCGTGTTGCCTGCTTCCCTGTAGCCCTTGAACCTTTTTACTCTGGTTGACTAGGTAAAGATTGTCAAAATATAATATATATATATATGTTTTTTTTAAAGTCAACCTATATGGACCAGTGTGCCAGCACAGAAAACTAACCTTCTGTCTGCCAGCATCAACATTCCTTATGGGAGCCAGTTATGTGCCAGCTGCTCCTTTTCCAATCCAGCTCCCTGCTTACGATCTGTGAAAGCAGCAGAGGATGGGCAAGCACTTAAGTTCCTGCACGCACATGGAAGACCAAGAATAAACTCTGGGATACTGGTTTCAGATTAGCTTGGCTCTGGCCATTGTGGCTTTTTTGGTGACAGAACCAGGGGATGGAAGACCACTTTATATCTCTTCTTCTCCCTATAAATCTATCTTTCATAGAAAAGTTAATAAATCTTTAAATTTTTTAGGAAGAAATCATCCTACATGCAGATAGTCATCATGTGCAAAATGCATTGAAGGCACAGGGGCATGTATGGCTGGAGTGCTGAGACTCAAGTCCAGAATCACAGTTTTCAGATGCTGAGAAAGCATGACATACAGAGCCAAGTTCAGGGCCATGGGACCTTCAGCAGCTGGATGGTAGAGGAGAAAGGGCAGTCTGGAGTCAGTTGTCCAGTCTCTTGGAACTGTGTCTCAACCAGAATGCAAGCAGAGGCTTTCTCATCACAATTTTCAACCATTATCTGATGGACATTTCTGTTGCTTCCTGTCTTGTCCTGTCACAGACAGTGCTGCCACAGACAGCTCGGTATGCTCTATCTTTGGCACACAGAAGCAGGTATGGTAGAACTCTCCTCAACCTGGCTGGAGGAATTGTTCCAGATTCTTACAAATTAGGTTCACTTACCAGGAGGCAGCAAGCAACTGCTCACATTAGAATGGTGGAAGATAGTAGGTAATTTTGCCAGATGCACAGCAAAGAGGCTGGCAGCTACTGCTCACTTCCAGACCTTGCAGAGAACTGAGCAGGGCATAAATTCTTCCTGGGGCGGGTGCAGGGGTTCCCTGTTTAGGCCCTCCTGGGTTTGTTTGGTGGACCATAAGAGGTCAACATGCTGTGGAAATGTTACAGCAAAGAGCTTGACCGCAGAGGTCTACAGATAGGCTGGTTGAGAGCCTAGTGGAAGGGCCTGTGAAACATCTCAAAGTAGAGCCTGGCAGGAGGACATTAGCTCTAGTGCTGATGGCTGGATTCTGAGCCTTGCCATGTAGAGTTGTGCAGGCCAGCCTGATGACCTTGGCATCCCTCCCCTTAATGTGTCCATCTTCAATTCAGAATGGATTGAAATGGCGTTGGGGGAGACAGAGGAACTGCTAGCTGAGGGATAGAGAGCCTAGAGCTGAGGAAAGTGTACCAGGGATGGGGACCAGGATTCAGAGCTGAAACAGGGAGTACATCTAACACAGGACCACCGGGACTGATGTGGTGACTCAATTGGATAATCCTCTGTATGCAATTTCCAGCATCTCTGTGGTCATTAACTTATGCCCGGGCTGCTTCACTTCTATCTACTTCTTTGTTTATGGCCTGTGAAAGCAGCTGATGATGAATAAAGTCCTTCAGATTCTGCACACATATAGGAAATCTGGAAGAAACTTTTGGCTCATGGCTTTTCAGCTCAGCTCAGTTGCCACTTGGGGAATGAACCGTGGATGGGAGAACTTTCTCAAGCTGTCCCTTCTTCTCTCTGTAAAATCCAATTTTCCAATTTAAAAAATTCCTTTTAAAATGGTTTATGTATTTTTATTGGAAAGGCAAATTTACAGAGAGAAGAAAAGACAAAGCTCTTGCATCTGGTGGTTCACTCCCCATGTGGCTGCAATGGCAGGAGCTGAGCCAATCGGATGCCAGAAGCCAGCAGCTTCTTCTGGGTCTCCTACACGGGTGCAGGGTCCCAAGGTTTTAGGTCATTCTCTACTGCTTTCCCAGGCCAGGGAGCTGGGTGGGAATACGCACTCATATGGGATTTTGGGGATTTAGCCACCAGGCTACTGGACCAGGTCCCAAAAAAGCTAAATCTTAAAAACAAACAAACAGATAAAAATAGAGTGGAGTCACTCACATCATACCTCAGTATCCTGGAAACCTGGTGTCAACCCTAACGCCCAGTGTGGGGGTGGCCCCAAGGAGTCGCAGATGATGACTAAAGAGTAAGGCTAAGGGCTCAGGGCAATATGGGTGTCAGGTAATAGCAGCTTGAAAAAGGGAAAAATCTTTCCTGGGAAGGAGGCCTGGAAAGTGTAGATGTGATTCTTCGTGGCCGCATCATAGAAGGTGACCTCCTTGCCCTCGAGATCCACGCAGACACCCAGTTTCCTGGAGCAGATTGGGAGGTCCTCCCACGAATCTCTCCCAGTGATTGCCTGGCACTGGAATCTGGTGATGCGCAGAACCCAGAAGCCACTTGTGGGCTCGAAGGTCAGGCTGCCCTGCCTTTGCACTTGTTCCCAAGCCACGCCCACGACGCCGGCTGGACCCCTTGGCCCACTGAGCTCCACCTCCCAGGTATGTCTGCCAGTGGAGAAGCCTGGAGAGCCCAGAACGCAAGGGAATGGGTAGAAGCGCTGCTGCCCTACTGGAAATATCCAGTAGTTCCAAGAGATCACATTCATTGTCACCGTTTTCAGATCCTGGGAAAAGCTGAGGTCAGGGTGGGCCGAGTCAACATCGAAGATCACAGGGGCTGTGGGAAGAGGAGGAGAAACAGGTGTACCCCTGGATCAAGTCACAATTGAGAAGATTTTATCATGTTTGTCAAGCCCATGGAGATGTGTTTTGTGATCTGTGACCACGCAGGCCTTAACTCCTGCCTGGACTTCCATTCTGTAGGAGGGAAAGGGAGTGGGTACAACAGCAGGGACCTTGTATGTCCACTAAAGGGCACCAGACACCATGCGAGGGCCAGAAGGCCAGTGCGATTGTGGCTTCCACTAAGAATAAGTCCTTCCCTCCTGGGAGTCATCAAAAACCCTGTCACCACCCTGAAACCCAATCCCAGGAGCCCAGACCCTTCCCTTAGCAACCCTCAAGACAGAGTACTGGATCACTCCCGACACTCACTCAGTACCTGCTGGAGCTCAGCAGTGCTCACGGGACCATGGTGACTCCTGGTGTCCCAGGTGTTAGTGACTCGGCTGTTACCTGGAACACAGGCAGGAGAGACTCTGCTTCCTGGCAGCTTCAGTTCTGGCTCATCAACGTTCATCTTGGGCTGGAATTGAGCTGGGGTGTGGAAGGTTGAGGATCCCGGGTTGGCTGTTGGGTCACCTTTGACAGAGAAGGAAAGAAGAGCCAGGTCAGTGGGAGCAAGAGGGCAGGAATCCCCCCACTGCCTGCACAACCTCAAGCAGCTCATTCCAGGTCTGCTACTTCCCACAGGTGGTGCAATGTGGTCAAGGACAGAGGAGGGCTTGTCTTCCCCCAACACACACCACACCTCATGTCTACCCAGTCCACCTGTGCCACCTGACACTTCTTCCAAGGCCTGTGGAGGCCACCGTGTCCCCTCCTCCACTCGCCTCTTCCCTCTGCTCATCACACCTGTTTTCTGTTCTTTCCCTTTCCTCTCCACCTCAAGTTGGCACTGAGAACAGACATTGGTCCCAGCAGTTGTGGTGAGGGTGAGGACAGAAGCCCGCAGCTCCCTCTGCAGGCTGTGTCCACCTTGGAACACCCACTGGCTTTGTATCTCTCTTCAAGGCCCACTGCCAGTCTGCTGTGTTTAAGACTAGACTCCTATCTGGGGTTGCTGGCTCAGGCTGTGAACTTCTGTCTGCAATAGGATTATTTTTCTGAAGCAGGCACCCTGGGAGTAGGAGAAGGAAAGCTAGATTTCATGCTTAAACTCAGAGGCTGCAAGATATGCTAAAGCAATGCAGCCACGCCCACCCTGCCAATCAGGAATAACTGCTGCCAGAGATTTCCAGGGCGCACTACTGCAGCCCCCAACGGAAGTGTGAAAACCTTTCAGTGAGCCTCAGGTTCAGTAGGAGAGGGTCATTGTTGGCCTGTGCCACTGGGGCCTGGGAGTGGGAAATACTGAATACCCACCCAGTCAGAGTCCCTCCCAATGGAAACCTCTCCCAGGAGTATGGGTATTGCCCAGCAGGGCAGCGAAGATGGCAGAGAAGGCCCTGGGTCCACCCTATCTAGACCCATTCTTGTCCTTCCTGACTATGAGCAGGGAGGACACTAATTGATGATATTTTTTATTAGTTTGGAATGCTTTTGAGTGACTGTGAGTTTCCTGGGACTAAAAGTATAAAAAATTCCCCTAGGTCTGCTCTTTCTTCCTTTGTGGGAGAATTCTCTTCTTTCATCTTTGGGGCTCTCACTCTTTCCCAGGGCCAGGAAGTAGCTCTGCACCTCCACTTACCGCTCTGCCTGTGGGTTGTACTCTTGTCTTGGAGGGTTTTGCCTTGGTGTTTCTGCCTGTTAGCCTGGAGCTGCTCTGGGGGTGGAGAACAGAAGGCATGAGAGTCTGTGGAAGCTGAGCAAAGAGTCCAGGGTGGCATCACAAGGCCCTGATGTGAAACCCCTGGGAGCAGTAAGCTGGAGTTGTCTCTCATATTCTCAGTACATGTGAGACTCCCAGGCTTGCTGCCCTGCTAACCTAAAGTATCTTCACAGGCCAGAACTGTCCAGGGACATCTGATTTGACCTGGAAACAGGAGCCACCCATTTACTTTTATTTCATAGCCTTCTTTATTATTAGTAGTATCATTTTATGATACAGTTCCATAGGCTCTGGGATTTCCCACACCCCCTCCAATTCCCTTCTTCCGCGCAAAGTTCCCCTACATTATTACTATACTATAGTTCTTTATAAACAGTCATATGTCCATTATTAAGGGTATGGACAATGGCAGAGTCCAGCTTTCTATTGTCACGTTTCACTGAGAGTCCATTTCTGGTCTGGAAGTAGAGATGCGTACCGCATTGTATTCTCACATCTGGATATGACAACTTTCCATTACACAGTTACTATACATCCCCTTAAGTGAAAAATCACAATACAAAATCAGCAACAGGAAGAAAAATAGAAATTTACAATGCCATGAAGTTAAATAACATGCTACCAAATATGAGAGTCTTTATTACTATTACTATACATCCCCTTAAATGAAAAGCCACAAAACAAAAACAGGAAGAAAAAAGAAATTAACAATGCCATGAAGTTAAATAACATGCTAAATAATGTGTCACTGAAGAAAATCAAGAACCTTCTTGAAGAAAATGATGCTACTGTATTATCTATTTGAAGAGATTAAACTTAAAAAAAAAAATCACAATCCATGATACAGTTTCCGCTAATCTTTGTTGGTGAGATGTCTCCTGTAGGCAATAGATGGGTTTTGGTTTTGTTTTTTTTTTAAATCCGGTTCACATTATGGGTCGCTGCAACTAGGTTGCAGCTCCCACTGGTTTATGTGAGGGCCATGTGTGTGCTGGGCAGAATCAGGCTGGACTGCAACACCCCTTGAGTGGAAGATGGGGCTGGAAACAGAACTGACCCAGCAATTGCAACCACCAGCTTATTGGGGGATGGACTGTACCAGGCCCCGTACTTGCAGGTACACACAAGGTCTGGGTTCACCTCAATTGAGCTGCCAGACTCAGATCCCTAACCATGAAAAGACAAGAGGACAAATCAATAAACTACCCCAGCCATATGTTGGCAGTGAAAAACAGGGTAAATGGAGACTCCAAGATATGTCAACCAATGAATTCTGCAGTGATTTCTTTGTGCTTGGAATGGCGAGATTGGCAGCAATTCAAAATGTTGAACTATCAAAGCCACTTGAGCAAGACCCTTAGAGCATGCCCCACATTGGGGACCTTGGATGGGAGGCAGACTGGGTGGGGCTTCTCCCTTTACCTCCCCATTTACCCCAGATATTGGGGAAAATATGTGGAAATGATAGTCTTACCCACTTTCCTGTAGCCCTTGAACCCTTGTGCCCAAATTAACTGTGTAAAGATTGTCAAAAATAAAATTTTAAAAATGGGGGGAAAATCCAGTTCACTAATCTATAACATTTGATTGATGAGTTTAACCCAGTTACATTCAGGGTTAGTATGAATGGGTAGTAATTTGGTCCTGTCATTTTAGGAATGGGTTGTTCATTGGCTTAGTCTTCTGTTGTTATTTGACTGGGATGTTCTTCCCATTTGCCTTTGGTTTTACTTGGTGCTATTCCTTTTCTCTGTCAAAAGAACATCTTGAAGTATCATTTGTAGGGCAGGTTTGGAAGAGGCATATTCTTTTAACTTTTGATTACTGTGGAAGAATTGTATCTCATTTTCAAAGACAAAGGAAAGTTTTGCTGGGTACGTTATCCTAGGCCAACAATCTTTTGCTTTTAGAATCTGGACTATGTCACTCCATTCTCTTCTTGCCTGTAGAGTTTCCTGTGAGAAGTCTCCTGTGAGCTTAATTGGCAATCCTTTATATGTCAATTGATTTTTGTCCCGTGTACATCTAAGGATCTTTTCCTTATGTTCAATTGAAGAGAGCTTGATGATCATGTGTCGTGGTGAAGATCACTTTTGATCAAGCCTGTTGGGAGTTCTGTGCCCCTCCTGCATCTTGTTTCCCAATTCTTTCTGCAAATTAGGGAAATTTTTCCTTAGCATTTCATTGAATACACCCTCAATCCAGGCTTCTCTTTCTGCACCTTCTGGGACTCCCATACCTCTTATATTTGGCCTTTTAATAGTGTCTTTCAGTTCTTGAATACTTTTTTGGGTCTGATCCAGCTCTGCTTCCAGCTTTTTGTTTTTTTCCCCCTGGTGACAGGAATTATCTTCTAATGTTGAGAGTCTTTCTTCTGCCTCCTTCATTCTATGTTGGAGACTGCCCGCTGTACTTTTAATTTGCTCCATTGTATTCTTCATTTCTGATGTATCATCAGCCTTCATTTGCTTCACTGCTGTTACTTGCTGTGTAACATAATCCTTGAATTCCTTGAGTGCCTGCTTCATGTACTTCTCATTATTGATAAGTAGCTTTATAATAAGTATTTTCAATTCTTTATCTCCCATTTTCTCGATGTCTTCCTCAGTGAACTCTGAGGTTGGCAAAGTGTTTTGCTGCTTTGCAGGGGAGTCTTCAGTAACATTCATTGTGCCACTGTTTCTTTTGCCCTGGGTCATTGTGCTTCTGGTTATCAGATTCTTCTTTTTGGGGTAGGTTTCTAAGCTGGATTACCCACAAATCTACAGTTCAATTTTACTTATTGCAGTTGGTACCTTGATACTTTCTTTGCAGTCACTTGTGCCACTCTCTTGGTACTGATCTTGCCAGAACCTGTTGGCTGTTAGGTCTGAGGGCCACAAGGATCTATCTTGACCTGTTCAATGACAAAGTCAGTATTCTGTGGTATTTTCCTGTCAGTATTTTCCTCAGTGCAATGCCCTGAGCTCAGCAAGTCTGTTCCCAGCTCAGCACATGTATAGCTCACTGTTTTCCCCACAGGTACAAAATGGCACCCGGTTTGGCTGTAGGGGGTGGACTGGGTTGTTAAATTGATCCTGTTCCCTGCACTGCCTGTTTGGCACCTGCTGCTTTGTCTCTTCTCTTGGTCAAATCAAACAGACCAGCAGGATGGGCAGTTCTTTGAGTTGAGCTCCTGAGGGCCCGGTAAATGTCCCTTCCCACCTTGCTGCTGGTGGAGTTCCGGCTGCCAGTGGAGTTTAGATCGTGGCTTGCTGAATGCTGCTGGGGTATCAGTCACTGCAACGCCACACGATTGCGTCTGCTGCTTTCCTGTGTCTATCAGTGAATGTATTCAAAACTACAGGATCATAAGGATGTGGTTATGGTCATCCTTGCAAGCTGCTCAGTTAGCCAGGAGGTTTCGTGAGCCGAAAACACCAGATGCAACCAAGTATCTTAGGAGATTTATTCCAACGGCGCAGGAACGGGATAGAAGTGGTGGGAGATCACCGGGAAAAAGGAAGGATGAGGTAGCGGGAAGGCTGAAGAGAGAGGAGCCACCCATTTTGTGGCACTTAAAAATTCATGCGGACCAGCACTATGGTGTATCAGGCTAATCTGCCCCATTGGTGTATCCCATATGGACAGATTCAAGTACCAGCAACTCCACTTCTGATCCAGCTCCCTGTCTATGTTGTGGGAAATCAGCAAAAGATGGCTGAATACCTTGAGCCCCTGAACCCACATGGGAGACCCAGAAAAAGCTCCTGACTCCTGGCTTCCACCAGTCTAGCTCTAGCTGGCTGCTATTTGGGGAGTGAACCCGCAGATGGACTATCTATCTCACCTTGCCTCTCCTTCTCTCTTTGTGATTCTGCCTTTCAAAAAAACAAAAACAAATCATTTTACAAAGCCACAGAAAAATGATATTATAAGTTAAATTTGACTGAGATTCAGGTGCAGTGATAGACATGCTTTTATGACACTTGATGTCCAGCTCTGCTTCCAATCACTATTCCCCGCTAATGGGCACGATGGGAAGTGCAGGTGATTGCCCACATACTTAAGTTCTGCCATACACATAGGAGACCCAGATTGAGTTCTTGACTTCTGGTTTTTTTTCCTGGGCCAGTCCTAGACATTGTAGACATTTAATGAAGTGAATTAGTGGATGGAAGATTGCTGCTTTTTTTTTTTCCCAATTCTCTGCCTTTTAAACAATTTTTTCAAGTTTATTAACTTTTATTGGAAAAGCAGATTCAGAGAGAAGAGGAGAGATGGACAAAAAGATATTTCAACTACAAGTACACTTCCCAAATAGCTACTGAAAAACTTAGGTGCTTTCTGCTTTTGTGATTCTGGCTTAATTACTTGGCCGGGGGCTGTGTGAACTCCAGGCCTAACAGTCTGTATGACACCCGGCAGGACACCTGGCAGGTCATGTAGGCAGAACACTGCTCAGGAAGGAAGTACCTGGTGTTTGATAAGACCCCCTACTTTTTGAAAGTTGCTTTCTTCAAACCCACCAATAGAAGCCTGCTAAATCATGACTGTATAATTAATAGCCTGAAATGTGTAAGAACCCTGTGCTGATAAAAATGGGGGGTTCTCTCCCTTTATGCCTTGCACTGACTTCAGACTCAATGATGTTCTGGGGATATAAAAATTGGTACAACATTACAACAACCAGAACTGAGCGGATCAGAAGGCCAGAGACATGAGATTCTTCTGGGTATCCCATATGGGTACAGGATTCCAAAGCTTTGGGTCTTCCTCTACTTCTTTCCTAGGCCAAAGGCAATGAGCTGGATAGGAACTGAAATAGGCAGGACATGAACTGGCACCTATATGGGATGCCAGTGCTTACTGACAAACGACTAGTTAAAGGAGCCATCATGCTAGTTCTTTAGACAATTTTTAGAAAGTTCATTTTGGGTGCCCAGCACATTAGCCTAGTGGTTAAAATCCTCACTTTGCATGAGCTGACATTTCTAATGGGCACCAGTTCATATTCAAGCCGTTCTGCATCCCAACTCTGCTTGTGGTTTGGGAAAACAGTGAAGGATGTCCCTAGGCCTTGGACCCTGCAATTGCGTGGGAGACCCAGGGAAGCTCCTGGTTTGGGCCTCAGATTAACTCAGCTCTGGACATTGTGGATACTTGAGGAGTGAACCAGAGGATGGAGGATCTTTATCTTTGTCCCTCTCTGTAAGTCTTACTTTCCAATAAAAATAAATCTTTAAAACAATCTGACATTCCAAAAAATATTTTTAAAGCACTTTTTTTTAAAAAAAAAGTTCATTTTGATTCAAACCATTTTGAAGTAGTTTTTTTTCTAATTCATACTTTCCATGAACATTTATTTAAACATGCCTCATATAATTTTTACTAAAGATTTTTGTGGCTGGAAAGGCAGATCAGATTTTACAGAGAAGAGAGACAGAGAGAAAGGCCTTTCATCTGCTGGTCCTTTCCCCAAATAGCTGCAGCAGCAGCAGCTGAGCCAATCTGAAGCCAAGAGCCAGGCATCTCCTCTGGGTCTTCCACATGGATGCAGGGTTGTAAGGCTTTGGCTCATCCTTTACTGCCTTCCCAAGCCATAAACAGCCAGCTGAATGGGAAGTAGAGCAGCCAGTACACAAATCTACGTGCACATAGGATCCCAGCACTTGCAAAGTGAGGATTTAGCCTTTGAGCCATTGCATCAGGCCCAGGCCTCATGGAATTTTACAGTTTGCAGGATTGGAGCCAGTGTTGTGGCACAGCAAGTAAACCTGACACCTGTGACATAATATCCCATTTGGCCACCTCTCCATTGGGTGCTCATTTCTGCCACTCCTTTAGTCCAACACCCTGAAAAAGACCTGGCAAGGCAGCAAAAGATGTCCAACTATTTGGAACCCAACCATTTCTGTAGAAAACTCACACAGAATTCCTGGCTTATACTTCACCCTAGCACACACAAGGCTGCCACAGACATTTGTAGAATGAGCCAGCACACGGGCTGTCTCTCATTATTTTTCCCTCTTGTAACCTGTTTGCTCTGTCTTTTGAAACACTTACCAAGCATTGAAATCATTAATAATTCATTAAAAATTTAACAACAAAAGAAAGAAAGTGGAGATTCATGGATAAATGGGGAAGGGGGTTGTTACTGGGGGCATTACCCTCATCTTCCTTTTGCATTTAGTGCATGGAAGACTTGGGGGAGGGGAAGCTCTTATGCTGGTCCTAGGAAGAAGACTCCATTCAGCCACCTTACTCTCAGTTAAACACACAAGGCCTTCACACTGAAGGGCATCCCTACAAATACCAACCCTTTTTCCTGGTTGTAAATCAAGAGTACTTCTTAATGAATTTCTCATTCAGTACCCAACTTTGCACTTCTGTCCTGGCTGATCTGTTTTCGTGCAAGACAGAATCTCTAAAACATCATCAATTATGAATGCATTTTCTGTAGTCAGAAGTAGCAATATGCATCAGAGAAACAAACAAACAAACAAACATGGGCCAGAGATCATAGAGTCTGCAAGCCCTGGGGAGGCAGAATACTGCCCCTCTGCCCGCAGTCACTGCCCTAGGCCAGGGGGTTAATACAAGAATTGATGAGGGGTGAGTGTAGACTAGTACCATGTGGAACAGAGCATGGGAGAAATGCTTGAGGCAGGCATGGCCAGGCTCATAGACCCTGGCAGGGGAAGGGTGCCATCCATGATAGCCACTGACAGGAGAGACTCTTCCAGGTGGGGAACAGAGACCCTTTCAGCCTCTTTCTTACCTCCACATTTCCTCAGGGTGTCAATCACAGAGTCATGTCTGGACTTTGCTTCATTGAGTTGTTGATCAAGGTCCAGAGGAATTGGGGTTTTGCTGTGAAGCTGAACCTGAAACTCTTCACTCCTAGGAGAACAAGACAGAACTGGGTGGGGAGTCCGGTCCTTTGGGCCCAGCCTTGTGGGGATGGAATCACAGCAGTGGGAGTGGCAGTGGACATCAAGGACTAGGGAGCGTTGAGTCACAAAGCCATCACTGATGATAGGCTGACGTGAGAAGCTGCCCAAGGAGACTTGGACATGAAGGGAATAGGAGAAAAGCAGTGGGGCAGGGAGAGGGGACTGGGAGGCATCCAGCTGAGCAGGGGGCCTGCAGGATACCCCAGGAAATGGGGATAACAGCTCAGGCCTCACACAACCAACTCATTTGCTCAGCTCAGATTTTCCTCATGCAGCCTAAACCTGAGTGCAAAGTCCCAGGGTGTGGGTGTTCGTGAGCAGGAAACATTGAGGGTATCTGAAGCTATGTTGAGTACTGATAAGTGAATGACTCAGGGGCAGCATGCATGTGGGCTGGTCATCATACCTGTGCAAGATGCCTTTGATGTCCTGCAAGAGAAAGACAAACAGCATGGTCTCAGCACCCAGCTGCCCCATGAGGCCACAAGGAGCCAAGGAGGCGAGGGGGTGTGGGCAAAGCCAGGGGAGTGAAAACATCTCTGAGACTCTCTCTTTCTCTCACTCTCTCTCTTCCCTGCTGTCACTCATGGGACTCCTTCAAGAAGTGCTGATATGGCTGAAAGTGGAAATCATGGTTAGACATCAACAAGAACCATTGATGATCAGAAAGAGAGTAACATTTTGCTAATGAGATTTTTTTGATACTTAACTTGCAAGGGGGCCATATTCCCTGGGACAGGAAAAAGATAGGAGTAACTTTGCATGAAATTTCTTGAAAGAAAAGAATAATCATTCCAACCAGCACAACTAACAATGGTTTATAAAACCCAGAAGTGGCTCCTGGCTTTTGCCTGGCACAGTGCAGGCCACTGTCACCATTTAAGGAAGGAACCAGTACTAGCAGGTAAATCTCTTTCCCTGCCTTTACCTGTCTCTCTGTAGCTCTGCCTTTCAAGTAAATAAACAAACGAATTTAGAAAAAAAAATTATTTTGTGGTAAATATTTTGGAATCTACTTACAATTTATTCATCACATGGATTTTTGAAAAACTGGAAATTTACTTTTATTGGAAAGCAGGTTTACAAAGAGAAGAAGAGATAGAAGGAAATATCTTCCATCTGCTGGTTTATTCCCCAAGTGGTTACAAGAGCTGGAGCTGAGCTAATCTAAAACCAAGGGCCTCTTCTGTGTCTCGCACATGGGTGCAGGATTCCAATGCTTTGGCCCATCCTCTGCTGCTTTCCTAAGCACATTAGTAGGGAACTGGACTAAAATTTATGCAGCTGAGATGTGAAGCAGCACTCATATGGAAGCCTGGTGCTACAGGCAGCATCTTAACTCACTAAGCCACAGCACCAGTCACACAATCTTTTTAAATATAATTTCCATCTGTCTGAACATCACAGGAAAGAGAAAATAGAGAAATGTGCCATCTGCTGGTTTACTCCCTGAATGCTCACACAGCCAGGGCTGAGCCAAGTAGCAGTCAGGAGCCTGAAACACAGTCCCGGTCTCCTACATGGGTTGCTGAATCCCAGGACTTGCCCCATCACCTGCTTCCTCACAGGCCCCACAATAGTAGGAAGCTAGTTGGGAAGTGGAGGTAGGGCTTCGACCAGGCACACCAACAGGTTACGTGCATTCTCCAAGTGGCCTCTCAACCACTGTACTGAACACTTGTCCTTGAGCATGCTGAAGCTCTTCCCCTGTGACTTGCAACAAATTTCTAAATTATTCATGTGGTTCATGTTACATTTTTTAATTATGCTGGGCAGTAACTGACAGTATATTTCTGAATTATTTATGTGGGTTACCTACTCTAAGTCACACATGTGGTTCATACTACTGTTCCAAATGACACATTACCATTCCAACTCTTTCTGCTGGATGGTGCGGCCCTAGAGGTAGTGTTGAGGATTCTGCCAGGCACAGGTGTGCTGGCCAGACACAAGCCTTGAGCTCTGCTTTGCAGTGATTCCACCCCCTGAGCAACTCACCTGCAGCAGCTGTCTGGGTAGCATCTGCTCCTTGGCCTTCAGGGAATCCTTGAGATCCTTGAGTGAGGTGAGCAGTGCCTGGGTGGCAGCGTTGTAGTGCTCACACTCCTTGACTCCATGCTGAGCCTGCTGCTCGATGTTGGATAGGAGAAAGTTCTTATTCTCCTCCAGCACCTGCTGCAGGTGCGTGAATTCCGTGTGGATCCGTTGTTTCTCAACATGCACCTGGGCCTTGGTACAATAACAGGGACACAGAGAAGAGGTGTTCTCAACTGCCCTTCATGTGATGTTATTCCATTTTAATTTTTGTATTTGATTACACTGAGTACCGATGTAGAACAGAGTACAGAATTGAGGGGAAAACAAACTTCTTTTTTTTTTTTTTTAGTTTTGAAATTTATAGTGCAATTTCATAGTTTCTGGGATTTCCCTGTCACCTTCCCAGACTTTCACCTCCAGACTGCTTTTCCCCATATTAGTACAATAGACAAATATCTGGGTTGTTCCCATGTATTTGCTATTGTAGATTGTACTGCTCTGAATATAGGATAACAGATTCCCTTCTCACATGCAGATTTCATTCCTTTGCGTATATTCCTAGGAGCAGGATAGCTGGGGCATATAGTACACTTATTTGTAATTCTCCAAGCACTCTCCATACAATTTTCTGCTGTGGTTGTACTAGCTACACTCCCGCCAGCAGTGAATGAGGGTGCCTTTCTACATGCATCAATGCCAGAAGGGGTTATTAGTTGAGTTCTGGATGTAGGCCTGCTTCACTAGAGTTACATCTGGGGATCCTGAGCATCTTTTCATCTATCTGTTCACCATGTGAATCTGTTCATTTTTGAAAAATGTTGTTCATTTATTTGCACCATTTCTTCACAGAGTTTTTGTTTTTGTAACTATCCCTGGATTTCTGAAGCTCTTTGAAAATACTGGTAATCAGTCCTCTATCACTTGTGTAGTGTAGAAAGATTTTTCTCCCATTCAATTGGTCCTGATTCACTTAATTATTAAGTATTTCCTTTGCTGTACAGAAGTTTTTAGTTTGATGTAGTTACATTTGTTTATTTTGTCTTTGACTGTCTGTAATTTTGTCGTCTTTTACAAAAAGTCTTTCCCTATTCCTATATCTTTGAGATTGCTTCCTATGGTTTTCTTTAGTAGTTTAATGATTTCTGGGTGTAGATTTAGGTCCTTGATCCATTTAGAGCAGATTTTTGTATAGTGTGACAGGTGCGGGTCTTGCTTCATAATTCTGCAAGCTGCTATCCAGTTATCCCAAAAGCATTTGTTGAAGAGACCAAGATTTTTCCTGAACTGTTTTCAACTTTCTTGTCAAAGATTAGTTGGCTATACATGTGTGGGCTCCCTTCTGGTGTTTCTATTCTGTTCCATTGACTTCTCTGTGTCTGTACCAGTACCAGACTGGTTTGATGGCCACTGCTCTGTAGTATGTCTTGAGGTCTGGAATTGTGATTCCTCCAGCTTGATTTTCATTCTTCATGGCAGCTTTGACTATTTGTGATCTTTTGTGGTTCCAAATTAACTTTTGTATCATCTTTTCTATTTCTGAGAAGAATATTGTTGGTATTTTGATTGGTATTGCATTGAATCTTTTTATTACTTTTAGTAATATGGACATTTGATGATATTGATCTTGCAATCCAGGCACATGGTAAGTTTCTCCATCTCTCAATGTGTTCTTCTCTTTCTCTTTTTAGGGCTATATAACTTTCACCATAGACGTCTTTAACATATTTAGTTTAATTCCTAGGTATTTAGTGGAGATTGTACGTACAAATTTCTTCTCAGCCATGGAATTATTTCTGTACACTAGTACCCTTGCCTTGCACTCATTAATTTTGTATCCTGCTACCCTGTCAATGTCTCTTGTGAGTTCCAATAATCTCTTGACTGAGTTTTTGGTTCTCCTATTTAAACAATCGTATGTCTACAGATAGAGATGATGTCAGTTCCTCATTTCAAATTTGGATTCCTTTAATTCCTTTTTCTTGCTGTGGCAAAGACTTCCAATACTATATTGAAGAGTAGTTATAACAGTGACATCCCTATCTAGTTTCAGATCTTAGTGGAAAAGCTTCCAATCTTCCATTTAGCACATTGCTGGAGTTGGTTTTTTCGTATATTGCTTTGTGTTACAGAATGTTCTTTCTATGCCTATCTTGCTTAGGATTTTTAGCATGAAGTGGTGTTGAATTTTACCAAACACTTTCTCTGCATCTGTTGAGAGGATCATATGGTTTCTATTTTTCAATTGTTGATGTGGTGAGTCAGTTTTTGCTGTGAGAATGTTGAACCATCCCTGCATGCTTGGGATAAATCCCACCTGCTCTGGATGAATGATCTGCCGGATGTGCTGTTGGATACTGTTGGCTGGTATTTTGTTGAGGATCCTTGCATCTATGTTCATCGAGGATTTCAGTCTGTAGTTCTCTTATTCTGTTTTGTTTTTTTCTCTGTCTGACTTTGGTATTATGGTGATATTGGCATCATAGAAAGTGTTTAGGAGAATTGCCTCTCTCTTTGTTTTTTGGAAAAGCTTGTGGAGAATTGGAGCAAGTTCCTTTTGAAATGTTTGGTAGATTTCAGCAGTGAAGCCCTTTGGTCTCGAACTTTTCTTGGTTGGGAGGGTTTGATTACTGATTCAATCTCAGTCCATGTTATAAGTCTATTTAGATTATTAATTGCTTCTTGATGCAGTTTTGTTGGATTGTATGTGTCCAAAGCCTATCCATCTCTTCTAGGTCTTCTGATTTGTTCTCATGTGGTTACTTGTAATAGTTCCTGATGAGTTTTTTAATTTCAGAGATATCAGTTTTGTATTTCCTTTTTTGTCTCTTATGTTATTGATGCACATTTTCTCCCTCTTTTGTTTGATTAGTTGACATAGTGGGGAATCTATTTTGTGGATTTTCTCAAAGAACCAGGTAACCAGCTCTTTGATTCATAGAACTTACGTATTGTTCTTTTGCTCTCTATTTTGTGTATTTCCCCCATTATTTTTTTTTTCTACTAGTCTTTGTATTGCTTTGCTATTATTTTTCTAATCCTTCCAACTGGAAGCTTAGTTCATTTACTAGTTGCTTTTCTAGTTTCTTAAAGTAAGCATTGATTGAGATGAACTTTCCTCTTAACATTGCCTTGATTGCATCCTATAGGTTTTGGTATGTTGAATTGATGCCTTCACTTATTTCAACCAATTTTTAATGTTCCCTTTGATTTCCTCTCTAACCTATTTCTCATTCATTTGCCTGTTATTCAGGCTCCATGTATTTGCATGTCTTCCTAGGTCTTTCGACTTCTTGGTCTCTAGCTTGACTTCATGATGGTCTGAGAAAATGCATGATGTATTTTTGATTTTTAAAAATTTTCTGAGGCTTGTTTTGTGGAATATAATATGGTCATTTCTGTGGGAGGTACCATGTACTGATGAAATAATCTATTTTCTGTGGGATGACAAGTTCACTAGACCAACTAAGTTCTGTTGTTTCTTGCTGAGTTTCTAAATCGTTGATATGCATGATGTTAGAGGAGTTATTAATGTCCACCACTATGTATTGGAGTCTATTTCTCCTTTTACAACCATTGATATTTGTTTCACATCACAGGATGGGTTGTCATTTCATATATATACATTTATTATAATGATATCTTCTTGCTGAATGGATCCTTTGATCATTGTGTGGTGTCCTTCTTCATCTTTTACAATGTTTTTCAAATCAAAGTCTATAACATCTGATATAAGAATAGCTACACCTCTTTGTTTTTCCTTACCATTAGCTTGGAATATCTTTTTGCTTCCTTTCACTATCAATTTCCACTTATCTTTGTTGGTGATATGTATCTCCTGTAAGCAACAAATAAATGAGTTTTGCTTTTTGATTCAGTCCTCTAATCTATGGCATTTGATTGATCAGTTTAATCCATTTACATTCAATACTAATGTGGATAGGTGGCCATTTGGTCTTATCATTTTAGTAATGGGTTGTTCATTGATTTAGTCTTCTGTTGGCCTTTGACTGGGATGTTCTCAACATTTGCTTTGATTTTGGTAGTTGCTATTCCTTTTCTCTTTCAAGAGGACATCTTTGACTATCATTTGTAGAGCAGTTTTAGAAGCGGCAAATTCTGGGAATTTTTTCTTACTGTGGAAGAATTTTATTTCATTTTCAAAGACAAAGCAGAACTTTTCTGGTTCTTCACAGTATTCTGTGCAGTCAATATTTTTGTTTTTAGAATCTGGAATATGTCATTCCTTTCTTTTCTGGCCTGTAGCATGTTCTCTGAGAGGTCAGCTCTCTGTTTGATTGGCGTTCCTCTAGAAATCACTTGATTTTTTTTCACATATAAATTTAAGGATCTTTTCCTTAGGAGAGCTTGATTATCATGTGTCATGGTGAATTTCACTTTTGATTAACTCTGTTGGGAGTTTTGTGCACTTCCTTGGTGCTGTTTCCTAACTCTTTCTCCACATTGCGGAAGTTATTGTTTATTATTTCATTGAATATTCTTTTAACCCTAGCTTCTCTTTCTGCACCTTCTGGAGCCCCATAACTTTTATGTTGGACCTTTTAATCATATCTTTTAATTATTTTATACTGTTTTTTTTTGTTTGTTTGTTTACCTTGACCCAGCTCTTCTTCCAGGTTTTTGTTTGTTTCCCCCGGTGACAGGAATTACCTTCCAACTCTGAAATTCTTCTGCTTCATTCATTCTGTTATTTAGACTTTCCACTCTATTTTTAATTTGCTTCATTGTGTTATTAATTTCTAATATATTAGCTTTCATTTGATTCATTGCTGCTATTTCCTGTGTTTAATATATTTCTTAAATTCTTTGAACCTTGTATGTGCTTCTTATTGTTGACTAGAAGTTTTTTTTTTTTTTTTAAAGATTTATTTTTATTATTTTTTAATTGGCAAGGCGGATATACAGAGAGGAGAGGAGAGAGGAAGATCTTCCGTCCGATGATTCACTCCCCAAGTGAGCGCAACGGGCCGATACTATGCCAGTCCGAAGCCAGGAGCCTCTTCCGGGTCTCCCACGCGGGTGCAGGTTCCCAAAGCTTTGGGCCGTCCTCGACTGCTTTCCCAGGCCACAGGCAGGGAGCTGGAAGGGAAGCGGGGCTGCCGGGATTAGAACCGGCGCCCATATGGGATCCCGGGCATGCGAGGCGAGGACCTTTAGCCACTTGCGCCACCGCGCCGGGCCCTGTTGACTAGAAGTTTTATAACAAGTATTCTGAATTCTATATCCCCCATTTTCTCAGTGTCTTCCTGAGTTAACTCTGAGGGTTGTGGAGGCTTTTGTTCCTTTGCCGGAGTGTCTTCAGTAATATTCATTGTGCCTTTGTCTCTCCTTTCACCTTTGGTCACTGCTGTTCTTGTTAGTAGTTTCTAACAAGAACAGTAGTGCGTGCGAATTTGAAGGGTCTACAACTTGGTTTTATAATTCAGTCAGTGCCCTAGAGTAGGAAAACACCAATTGTCCTAAAAAACTGTATTATTGGCAGTGCTGATTTACTGACAACTGCTGGCCGTTAAGTCTGAGGGCCACCTGAAACTATTTTGAGCGGAGCCTGTAGAGTGCCACAATGGAACTATTTTATCCAAGGGACCTGCACAATGCACTAAGCTGAAAGTGAGTTTGCTCCCAGTTTAGTGTTTGGATAGGTCAGCTGCTGTCCCAGCAATCCCCTAGATTCTGGTCCTGTAAAAACTGCACCTGTTCGCTACTGATTTAGCACAGGTGCAGTTACCTCTGCTCCTCCTACTCTTCCCCTCTCAGTCTGTTCCTCTGAGCAAATTGATGCTTGACAGGACAATGATGAAGTTCTGGAGTTGCTGGCTGTCAGATCCAGGTACCACACAGACCCTGCAGGATGCAAAGCTGGCACTGTTTTCCTTATGGCATAAGTTCAGTGCAATTAGCTAGACATGAGCCCCCTCCAGACAATCCCTTCAAATCCACACTCTTTGCGCTACTACACAAAATGGTGTCCTTTCTGGCACTACTGAGTCTGTGATGTGAGATCTACCCCATTCCTGAACTTTGCCTTGGAGTCCACTGCTCCCTCTCTGCTTATTATTGGGTCAGACACATCAGCAGGATGGGCAGTTCTTTGTCTGTACTCACCTCTTAAGTTCCTGGTCAACTCCAATTCCCACCTGGCTGCCACAGATGCTGTGGACACTACTGAATCTCTGGCTCCCGCTGGGAGCCCAGATGGTCTGAGTCCAGATCACTGCTCTATGGCTTCTGGTGCACTATCCTATCACTGCAACACCGCTCCACCATTGCTCCTGCTACCTCATGTACAGGGGTCTCCAGGTACTGCCATGCCAACTGCCTGACCTATCTTTTCCTGGAATCTGCTCCCTGTGTCTCACCGTGTTCCTAATAATTCTCTGTCATTCCAATTCTGTCTGTAGCCTGTAGTCTGTACCACCACATTGCTGACCGAGAACAAATTTGAGAGAGAGATGGAGAGCGAGAGAGAGGGAGGGAGAGATATCTTTTCTTTGCTGATTCACTCTCTGAATTCACACAATAAGCTTAAGTGGGCCACATTGAAACCAGCAGCCAGGACCTCCACCCAAATCTTCTACATGGGTTCAGAGGCACAAGCTCTTTTATCTTCTGCTGCTACTTTCACAGGTGCATAGGCAGGGATCTGGATTAGAAATAAAGCAGCTGCATCTCAAACAAGTACTCATATGGAATGCTGGTATCAAAGCAGGAAGATTAACACACTGCACCATGATGTAGACCGCAATAACACACATTTAAAAGCACTTCCCATGGCAGTGTCATGGTGCAGCCCATTAAGATATTGTTTGCAATGAAAACATCTCATATTCAAGTGCTGGTTCAAGCACAGGTTACTCTCATTCAGACCAGTTCTTGCCAATGCACCCTGAAGATGAGAGAAAATAGCCCAAACTCTGGGCTCCTGCCACTGCATGGGAGACCTGGATGAAGTTTGGAGTTCCTGGCTTCTGCCTGGACCACCTCCTCACCATTGAGGCCATTGGAAAGTGAACCAATGATTGGAAACTCTATCTCTCCTCTGACACTCTCACTGTTACTCTAACTTTCAAGTCTTCATTTTTTTTTAAGACTTATTTATTTTTTTATTACAAAGTCAGATATGCAGAGAGGAGGAGAGACAGAAAGATCTTCTGTCTGATGATTCACTCCCCAAGTGAGTGCAATGGCCGGTGCTGCGTGGATCCGAAGCTGGGAATCAGGAACCTCTTCCAGGTCTCACATGCAAGTGCAGGGTCCTATAGCCTTGGGCTGTCCTAAACTGCTTTCCAGGCCACAAGCAGGGAGCTGGAAGGGAAGTGGAGCTGCCGGGATTAGAACCAGTGCCCATATGGGATCCCAGTGCTCTCAAGTCAGGGACCTTAGCCGCTAGGCCACTGTGCTGAGGCCCTAATTTTTTTTTTTTTTAATAAAAACACTTCTTTTGTGCTCACTGCCACATTCTGCTATCATTTAAATTATCATTTTTGTTTCAGAATTTGCCTAAAACTTTTTTTCCAAAGGTTGTTCAATTTTCATCTGCTTTCATGTAGTTTTTAATTTTTTCATTTAACACACCAAACCAAAATAACATAAGGTGGGTTTTTTCCTTACCAGGAAGTGATTGGTCTTCTTGTCAACTTGAGCCTTCATGTGTACCAGTTCCTGCTCGTTTTGCTCCAAGATTGCCACATGAAACTGGATCTGCTCCTGTGGGGCGAGTGACCTTCAGTCAAGGCTCTGCCTGGATTTCTCTGGGGCTCATAAAGCCATCTGTTCTCTCCAGAAAGCAGATACAGAGCTCCAGGGAGTTTTGGGTGTAAGTGTTAATTCAAGCCCCTTTCTTGAGCTTCAGGGATGGGAGAAATATGAACCTATGTGACCTAAAAGAGAAGAGGATTGCTATGCCTCTTTAGAGTAATGTTAGGATGGTGCTTGAAGACTGTCAAAGAACTTCCCCCAAACCATCCCTCACCTTTTCTACCAACAGTTCAAGTGGTAAATTTGGGGTCTGCTGCTATTGGGCTGGAAAAGCAATGAAGGATGGCGCAACTCCTTGGGTTCTTGCATCTGTGTAAACGACCAGGAAGAACCTATCGCTCTCATTTGTGACTGTCTCAGCTTCAGCCGTTCAACTGTTGGTAGAGTGAAGATGGAAGACCTTTTTCTGTCTCTGTCTATCTGTCTCTCTGTCTCTCTCAATATACCTTTTAAATGAATAAACTTTAAAAAAAAAAAAAAGATGTAAGTTTGATTTGAAAGCTAAGGCATTTGAGGCTCAGAAAACCAAAACGATCTCTTAAAAGTTGCACAATCAAATTAAAATCCAAATTTGAGCCCAATATTTTTTATTTTATATTTTTTTCTTATGTTTAATATCGCTTACATAGTTGAGAGGGATTATTACTTATGTGCATCTCTGAATAGGGTGGGAAGGGTCAGGTTACAGGAAGAGGGGAATGGGAACTATATTTCAACTCTTTTTTCTCCTTTGTCTGCTGGGGGCAGTTAATGGGGGAAAGGGAAGTGGATGCTCCTTGATGTCAAACTACATGTGACACGATAATGTCTTACAGACCCCAACGTGGAGTCCATATCTTCTGAATCAGATTCCTGTGTCTTGGGGCCAATACATGGCTCCAGAGGCTAATCCTCCCCATTCAAGTGACAGCATCCCATATAAGTGCAGGTTCATGTCCTGGTTGCTGTGCTTCCAATCCAGTTCTCTGTTATGGTCTAGGAAAGCAGAAGAGGATGACCTAAGTCCTTGCGACTCTGCACCCATATGGGAGACCTGGAAGTGTCTCCTGGCTCCTAGCTTAGGATTAGCTCAGCTCTAGCAATTACAACCATTTGGGAAATGAGCCAGTTCATGGATCATCTTTTTCTCATTCTCTCTGCTTATCTACCTTTAAAATAACAATAAATAATTCTGCTTTTTAAAATCTGTGTGGGGCCGACATGATGGTTGGTTAATCCTCCCTTTGCAAGCAAAAATATCCTATATGGGTCTCAGTTTGTGTCCTAGCTTGTTCCCTTCCCATCCGGCTCCCTGCTTCTGTTCTAGAAAGCAGCAGATGATGGGCCAAAGCATTGGGACCCAGCACCTAACTTGGAGACCTACAGGAAGTTCCTGAGTCCTGGCTTCAGATTGGCTCAGTTAGGACTGGTGCTGCATTTGGGGAGTGAACCAGTGGATGGAAAATCTTTCCCTGTCTGTCTCTCCTTCTCTGTTTTTTTCCATCCTCCACTATTCCCTTGTTGGCCAGGACAGCAGTTCTTAGATTAGAACCAGGAGTTCAGTGGACCTGGCTAGGTAGAACCTGCAGGAGTCACAGAGAACAAACCCACATTAAGGAGACAACAGTTTGCAGAGCTCCATCAAACTCCCATCAGCAATGGGGAGTCCCCATGCCTACCTGATGATGCTCGACAGCTTCTTCTATCAGTCTGGATTCATGTAGTTTGTGCTCCTTCGAGTCATGACACACCACACAGAGGAATTGCCCATCTGCTTCACAGACATAGTGCAGCTTCTCCCCATGCTTTGGACATCTCAGCTCCTTTTCTTTCTGCTTCCTCTCTGAGGAATCCATACCTCGAAATTTCTCTTTCGTATGTGCAAACAGCCATTTGGGCACATATGTGGCCTTCATATAAGCTTTGCAGAGGGGACATTTGATGTGATACCTAGAACCTTCCTGAGGCGGAGTGATGCAAAAATTGCAGAAGTTGTGCCCACACTCAAGGATGACAGGGTATTGCAGAATGTCCAGGCAGATGCGGCAGGTCACTTCCTTTTCTAAGTTCGTCGAAACCCTTTGGCTGGCCATGGCAGAGCATCCAGGCTGATCCTGTCTGTAGGATTGCTATAAATTGGCAGTGGGCACCAAATCCAAAGGGAGAAGGAACAAGAGCAGGCAGAAAATCAAAGAGTCTGTCAATCAACCATGGGAGCAAAGTGGGAGGAAAAGAAGAGAGAGAAAAAAGTGATTCAAAGGAGTAAGATTTTCAACCCAGTGAACATTCTGTAGAGGGAAATCAGAAGGACAATCCTCTCCAGTCACTTCTTAGGGAAAAAATGACTACTTAGAAAGCATATTTGCTGATTATAAATAGATTAAGTGATATTGAACCTTGGACTGGTTGAATATAACGCCGGTGACTGGATCAGAAGGGCCAGGGCAATAAAATCCAGTCACACAGAACTTTCCAGCCACATTAGGATGAGGCTGGAATGGTTGAGTGGCAAGGTTTTGGGCATCTCCTACAGGTGGAGCCAAACCCAGACAGAGAAACATGCCAGGGAGGTGGGAAATTAGATCTACTGCAGGTAATGTGGCTCCTCTTTGAAGGATCTTTTGAAAACATGGGAGATACAATAACCATCATAAACCATTCCTCTCTTGAGAGATTCTCAGTCAAGTGGAAGACACAAGGAACTTCCTTTCTGTCTTTGTTTTAGCTTCTTTTAATTTGCTTGAAGATTTAGTTTACTTATCTTTGAGACAGTTACAAAGAGAGTGATGGAGAAACTAAGGAAAATGGAGATTTTCCTTCTGTTGGTTTTCCCACATGACCACAATGGCAAACATTGAGCCAGTCCAAAGCCGAAGCCAGGAGCTTCCTCTGGGTCTCCCACATAGGTGCACAGACAAGTGTACAAGTACAAGCACTTGGGCCAACCTCCACCACCCTCCCAGGTACATCAGCAAGGAGCTGGATTGGGATATGTAGCACCGAGGACACAACTTGTCACCACATAGGATGCTAGTACTGTAGCAGAAGCTTAACTTGTTACTCCACTGCACTGTCCCCAGGAACTTCCTTTCTGAACTTCATTCTGCTTTCCACACTATTCCTGAACCTGGTGGAGTTCTTCCTGATGCACACCAGCTGTAGCTATATCCTCTGTGGAACTTTCCCTGTAAAACTCCAATTCCTCATGTGTGTGTGTGTGTGTGTGTGTGTGTGTAATGATTATTCTGTGTTTCTTCTTTTTTCATGGTGATTATAATTCCTGACTTTTCCTATAGATTTTGTCCTAAATGTAAAACAAGAAGCACACTTATCACTTTTATCTGATGTTTATTTAAGGTCAGCAGGGATCATGAGCGATTTTATGATCATACAGGCCATAAATTCCACCGGGTTTTCCCTTTGCCCTGGTATAATTATTAACACTATGCCCTTCATTTCTCACGTGTCCCCTTTAGATGAAAACTTACATGAATACCCTAGTCATAGCAGCTGTTGGAAGCCAAAGGCTTTTGGAAATGTTCTACTTCCAAGCCTCTCTGAATGCTTCAAGGCTGAATTAAAGCAGTGTTTTGTAACCTATATTCACCCAAACTGCAGCTCCCTGGAGACAGAATTTTTTTATTCAAGTCTCCTTTGATGGGCATGGTGAAATTTGAATACCTTTAGGTGGGTGCGTTCCTCTCCGCCACTCTATTACCTCGGGTCTTCTTTTTTTTTTTTAAAAGATTTATTTTTATTATTTTTTCATTGGAAAGGCGGATATACAGAGAGACGAGACAGAGAGGAAGATCCTCCGTCCGATGATTCACTCCCCAAGTGAGTGAAACGGGCCGATACTATGCCGATCCGAAGCCAGGAGCCTCTTCCGGGTCTCCCACGTGGGTGCAGGGTCCCAAAGCTTTGGGCTGTCCTCGACTGCTTTCCCAGGCCACAGGCAGGGAGCTGGAAGGGAAGCGGGGCTGCCGGGATTAGAACCGGCGCCCATATGGGATCCTGGGCGTGCAAGGGGAGGACCTTTAACCACTTGCGCCACCACACCGGGCCCGACCTCGGGTCTTCTTATATGCAGATGTCTTCCTGTCTATGATCCTGACTTACTTTGAGTGTCTTCTGTGAGAAAATATCTTTACCCATTCTCAGGGAAGCCAAGCATCATATGCCCTGAAAGCCTTGTTAATGCTCAGATTGGCTGAACCGCGAGCTAGGGTAAAGACCTGATTACTTATCTTTCTAAATCCTTACTTGTATTTTAGTTTTTTTCATTTGAAGCTCAGAGAGAGAGCGACAGATAGACACACACACAGAGAAAGAGAGAGAGGGAGAGGGAGGGAGGGAGGGAGAGATAAGCCTTTATCCTCTGGTTCATTCCTTAAGTGCTTATAACAGCCTTGCTGTTGAGCAAAGCTGGATCCAGGAACCAAGAACTCAGCACAACTCTCTTACATGGGTGACAGGACCCAAAATATTTGAGTATCACCTGCTGCCTTCCAAGTGTGCACATGAACAGAAAGCTGAATTGAAAGTGGAAGTGGAAAGGCCGGAACTCCAAGTAGGGTGTCCCACACAGATGCAGGCATCCAACAAGTGATTTTACCACTGTCCCATAGACCCACTGCTGCCTGCAGTTTACAAGCAGCTTGATTTAATTAGAAGAACAGGGAGGACTGTGTCTGTAATCTAGACTTTGTAGACAGCTGGTGCCAGAGAGCACAGACAGAGCCTGCGGACAATTATCTACAATTGGGCAACAGTTCAAGGCCATGGAACTGTGTGCTTTAAGAATAACCTTAAGATAGCCATGTGCTGACTATACTTGGTTCACTCTGTTTCCTGATCATAAATGATTAGCCAATGATAGTGAATATGGGACGTGACAGTCACAGTCTGTGCCATGTCAATTGCTGTAATTTGATCCCCACGGAATTCAATAGAAAAGCGACACAACAACCTAACAGGGTTCCATTATCTTTTGAAGAAGGCATGCCTCTGCTGGCTTTACTCAAATTTCCTTTTATTAATTTGTTTTAAAATATTTATTTTACCTTTATTGGAATGTCAGATTTACAGAGAGAAGGACAGAGAAATTTTCCACTGACTGATTCAATCCCCAATGGCCACAACAGCAAGAACTGAGTGGATCCACAGTCAGGAACCAGGAGATTTTTCCAGGTCTCCCACAACAATGCAGGGTCCTCCTGCTATGGGCTGTCCTCTACTGCTTTCTCAGGTCACAAAGCAGTGATCTAGAAGAGAAGTGGTATAGTCAGGACACAAACTGGCACACATATGGGATTCTGATGCATACAAGGCAAGGACTTCCACCGTTAGGATACCGCACCAGGCCCAATAATTCATATATTTTCAAAAGATTTATTTTTTTTTTATTGCAGTCATATATACAGAGAAGAGGAGAGACAGAGAGGAAGATCTTCTGTATGATGACTCATTCCCCAAGTGACTGCAATGGCCAGAGCTGAGCCAATTCAAAGCCAGGTGCCAGGAGCCTCCTTGGGGTCTCCCACGTGAATGGAGGATCCCAAGTCTTTGGGCTGTCCTTAACTGCCCTGCCAGGTCATAAGCTGAGAGCTGGATAGGAAGCGGGGCCTCCAGGACCAGAGCTAGCACCCACATGGGATTCAGGCACATTGCCACTGCGCCAGGCCCAATAATCTGTATTTTAAGCACTAGGAGATGGCAGTGCTACTCAGGGCAATCTGCATGTTGAGAACCATTGGGTGTGGGGATTGTGTTATGGTACAGCAGGTAAAGCTGCCACTTGTGATGTCAGCATCCCATGTGAGCACCAGTTTATGTCCCAGCTTCTCCACTTTCAATCCAACTCCCTGCTAATGACCTGGAAAATTGGCAGAAGACAGCGCAAGTGGTTGGGGCCTGCTACCCTTGTGGGAGATTGAGAAGAAGTTCTTTATTCTTGGCTTTAGCCTGACCTAGCCCTGACTGTGTGGATATCTGGGGAGTGAGCCAGCAGATGCAAATGGAAGATCTCTCTCTCTCTTTCTCTCTCTTTCTCTCTCTCTCTCTCTCTGTGCATGTCATTTTTATCTTTAATCCTCTTCCTGTTCCCTTTCCTCTATCCCTGAAACTCTGCTTTTTGAATAAATAAATGTTTTAAGATAGAAAAAGAAGCCCACTGATTTATGAACACCCCTAATTGCTCCAGCACATCCATCCAGTAAGTGACAGTGCTGAGAGTCAGCCCCAGATTTCCCCCCTTACATTACCTTCTCTTTTGGATTCCTGATACCCACATGGGAGAACAGGAGGAGGCTCATGGCTCTTGGATTTGGACAGACTTGACTGCAGCTATTGCGGCTGTTTGCCGAGTGCACCAGAGAATGGTAGATCTCGCTCTCTCTCTCCTTTTCAAATAAATTTATAAACTTAAATTTTTATAAAAATATTTAAAACAAAAAAGTAAACAAAATTTTCAAGAACAGTAGAGATGACAAATAAAACTTGTTCTTTGCAAATACTAATCATGAACCCTAGCTGTAAGCGACTGCCTAGGTTGCATTGTATCCAGCAAGTGTTACACTGCTGGGAGAAAACAGCTAATTCCTGACAGGTATCCTGGACCTGGTTAATGCCAAATTTGCTTTAACCATATCAGTGTATCAGCATAGTTGCCTATTTTCTTTTCTTTTTTTCTCCCTTTCTCCCTCCCTGCCCCTTTTCCTTTCTTTCTCTTTCTTTCTCCCTCTCTCTCTCTCTCTCTCTTTCAGATATAGGGGGCCAGATGCCTGTGTATCAGTAGACAGGGTCTTGACACAGTGCATAAGTATCCATGGACCCTGGGTAGGCATGCAGGGCCTGAGACTGGCAAAGCACACCAACAGAGGGTAGGGTAGGGTTTGAGATCTGTGTGCTAGCAGGCACGGGGAGCTCTGGATTGCTCAGGAAAACAGGTCTACAGATGTTGGGGAAGGGAGGACTGCTGAGGGAGAATACGACTGATGAGGTGACTTCTGGAGGGATTCCTCCAATCAGGCTACTGAATTGCAGGTAAAAAAAAAAAAAAGCGGGGGCTGAGATCAGATAGTTTAGAGGAGAG